AGAGAGAGAGAGAGAAGCAGAGGGAGAAGCAGGCTCCCAAGGAGCAGAGAGCCCGATGCGGGACTCGATCCCAGGACCCTGGGATCATGACCTGAGCCGAAGGCAGACGCTTAACCATCTGAGCCACCCAGGCGCCCTATATGTCATTTTCTAACATGGTGATGGAAGAGTTGGCCAAGTAGTAAGATGGACACAAAGGAAAGGTACAAAGTCAGATTTCTTCAGATTAGGGGACTGAGACCTGGACAAAGGATATGTGTATATTAAGATGTTTTGATCCCGGAAGTTTTAAAACTGATCAGTAAAATTATGTAATGTCTGATTGTTTATTATGTATGTTTGCTATTCTTATAGTTGGAAGGAAGCAGAGAATATATTTGATGTCTATGGATAAATCAGGGCTAGATCTCCACATGGCTGAGGGAAGTGGCTGCTTCTTCCATGAATAGGCCTCAAGAATGCAAGCCATACCAACTCTTCCTACCAGCAATCTACTCTGCCTAAAAATTACTATAGGAAAATGTTTGTCTGAATTTTTAGGGTTTTCCCCCCCCCATGTGTTCTTTTTTTAAATACAAATACTCCAGAGAAAAGATATCAACGACTAACTGGCAAGTGAGAGAAAGGTGTGGAGCCTGCTTAAGATTCACTCTTAATCCCTCTGTCCTCCCCTCCCTTTCTCCCTCTCTTTAAAAAAAAAAAAGTGTATAGAGAAGAGAATAAATAAAATCCCATAATTCTATCACCCACAGATAATCACTATTCACATTTAGTCTGTTTTCCTTGTCCCATGCCTAATGGTGTTCATAATTGACATTAGTATACTTTTGTTTATGTATCTGTATTTTCTCATGTCATTAACTGTCAGCATTTCTTTTTTGTCAGCATAATTTTCACTGTATATATTTAATAAAATGGGTGTACAGTAAGTCAGTTGAGTCTTTTAGTTGTTCCTACTGGGATTTAAAATTTCATAGTTTTGTTAGTAGTCCACTTTAGGGAGCTTTTTGCAGTGAGCCATGCAGTGGAGGTGCTGACTAGGATAGGCCTGCACCAGCATTTAAGTCAAGGAAGGAGGACCATAGCTGAACCAGTTACATAGGAATTGTTCTTTTCTTCTCCCAGCCCTCAGTATACTGAAGGGAAAGAGAGGCCCAGAAAACTGGAGAGGGATGAGAAAGAATCAAATCACTATTATACCTTTCTTTCTCAGTGAAGGTTCTTTAGGCCTCAGGCCAGGCCTGTCCTAGGGGAGGGGAAAGAGCTTTAAATTAGATATGATTGACATTTTAAATTGGATTAAATTGACTTCAAGAAGACTTTTTTTTGAATACTTGAAAATTATTGGAAAGCTAAAGAAACTGGTTAAGATATTCAGGGAAGGGAAGGAGAAATTCTGGATGGCAAATTGAAAGCGATGATTGGAGAAAAATAAGCCACTTATTGTTTTAATTCCCCACCAAGTAATATTGGGACATTTTTTTGATTAACTTTAATGATATTAGTGGAGAAGAGAGATTTGACATGAACTTTATTGCCTCTAAAAGTAGTTAGCCATGTGGATGAGGCATGTGAAAGTGTGATTCTTCAAGTGGTATAGATATGGATTCTCTGAACTCAAGGGAGAATGGATGATCTTCTCCCGTCTTTTTTCTTAAAAAAAAAAAAACAAAAACAAACTTTTGGTAGGGGGGGATTTGGAGATGTGGATCAAAGGGTACAAACTTTCAGTTATAAGTTGAGTAAGTCCGGGAATCTAATGTACAGCATGATGATTATAGTTAATAATACTATATTGTATACTTGAAATTTGCTAAGATCTTAGATGCTTTCACCATACACAAAAAATGGTAACTATATGAGGTGATAGCTGTGTCAATTAACTTGATTGTGGTAATCATTTTATAATGTATACATATATTAAATCAATACATTGTACCTCTTTAAAAAAAATCACATTGTATATATAATTTTTGTCAGTCATACCTCAGTAAAACAGGAAAAGAGTGACTTTTTCCTCTTGATCATAACACTAATATATTCATATTGTAAAGAATTTTAAAACTTCTGAAAAATACAGGTAATAAACATCAATGCAATCCATCACTCCATCCCAGACAGGAGCAGCAGCCTTTGGGTATATTCTTGCAGCCTTCCTTGTGCCTTCTTAAATTGCTTATTGCCTTTTCCTTTTTCCAAAGCTGAGATCATCTCATAAAATTTTTGTGGCCTGCAGTTGAGGCTGCATAGAGAAGCAAAAATTGTAACATAAAAATATTCACTGATGACCACTCAGCATTTCTGATTTTTCCTGTAAAGCTTGAATTTATTCACTCATTAACCACTGTTTCTGTCTCTATGCTGGGGGCTATTACAAGGCAGATGGATTGGGAAGTTATTTCTTGAGGTCAGTGAAGGATACTGGAGATCTATATGCTCACTGACAAATCTGTCTAGGTTGGACCAGTTGAAAAACTGATGAAGAAATCAACAGATGACAACAAGATAGGCACTTTATTTTATTTTTTTTAAGATTTTTTTTATTAGAATGGGGTGGGGGCAGAGGGCTAGAGAGAAGCAGGCTCCCTGCTAAGCAGGGAGCCTGATGAGGGTCACAGCCTGATGCGGGACTTGATCCCAGGACCCCAGGATCATGACCGGAATTGAAGGTAGACACTTAATGAACTGAGCCACCCAGGTGCCCTGAGGATAGGCTCTTTAAAGAAGAGTATTGGACATGACATCATATTAACGTAACCTTTGGGGAACATCAGTATAGCTCCTGGGTAGTGTTGCCATTATGATGCCATGTAAGCAAGACAAAATGAAGGATGTGATGTTCTATTGTCTATCATTTTGTTGGAAAAATCACCACCCCCCCCAAAAAAAACCCCCACTATTTTTATTCATTCTTTGATCCAATATTTAGTACATGAGTATAAAGGTTGCCTATATGTTGTTAAACTGCTAAGTATGTTTTATCTTACATTTATAGGGTACTTTTTCAGTATAAATTTCCTATCAAATTTTTGTTTCCCATTATGAATATGAATGCTTATTATGAATATGAATACTTAATAGCCTTTTACTAGTACTGTTTATTGGTAATAACAGGGAACACCTGTATTTAATTTTTTCTTAATTCTCTAAACTGTTTATGTCTGCTGTAATAAACACTGTAGTTCCCCTTACCTATGGTTTCACCTTCTGCGGTTTCAGTTACCTGAGATCAGCCTCGGTCTGGAAGCAGATGATCCTCTTTCTGACATGCTGTCAGAAGGTCAGTGGTAGCCTAAAGCTGCTGCCTGTGTCATTCCCCTCCCTTCATCTTATCACATAGGCATTTTATCATCTCACATCATCACAAGAAGAGTATAGTTCAGTAAGATATTTTGAGAGACCACATTCATATTACAGTATATTGTTATAATTGTTCTATTTTGTTATTATTGTTAATCTCTTACTATGCCTAATTTATAAATTAAACTTTATCGTAAGTGTGTATGTATAGGAAAAACATAGTGTACGTAGGGTTTGACAGTGCAATTTCAGGCATCCACTGAGGTCTTAGAACATATCCCCTGCGGATAAGGAGGGAGACTACCATAGTAACCAGATAACCACATTTTTTTTTTCTAGTGAGTAAGCATATGCTAGAAAAGCTAATTTTATCTAAAATTAAGTACATACTTAAAAACATATAACTACAGGTCATAATAAATTTCCTTAACCTTTTTTAGGTCTAAATATTGGTCCAATGTAGAAGGTACCACTCTGTCTTTCCTGGAATTAAGGCCAGATTTCTCATATTCTTCTCACTCTGATATATTGATGTCTAGTCATCATTAGACTGGTGTATGCAAAAAATCTTTGCTAATCTGCTGTAGTGGGTTTTTGATTGTGTGCTTTTATTCCTTTTTTTTTTTTTTAAGATTTTATTTATTGACAGAGACAGCGAGAAAGGGAACATAAGCAGCGGGAGTAGGAGAGAGAGAAGCAGGCCTCCTGCTGAGCAGGGAGCCTGATGGCATGGGGCTTGATCCCAGGACTCTGGGATCATGACCTGAGCCGAAGGCAGATGCTTAACGACTGAGCCACGCAGGCACTCCATGGTTTTATTCTTTTAATTATCATAGTTGTCATATAAAAAATTAGCCTCTGGGGTATTTGTGCTATATTCCAATTCTCCAAGATCCTCCTTTTTGCCATGCACATGAATCACCTGGGGATCTTGTTAAAGTGCATGTTCTGATTTGATAGGCATGGTGGGGGCAAAATTCTGCATTTGAAACCAGCTCACATGTGAAGCCAATGCTGCCAGCCTTTGGACCACACTTTGAATTGTAGGGCTTTTGATAACAGTTTTGGGAACAAAAGCCAGTCAAAGCCTATTGACGCCATTTCTTGTTATAACTTTATGACACATGCCTAGTTTATTAGTAATACATATTTTTCCAACAGGGATATAGATGTTGAATTATAACTTGTAGTGTGTGAGTTTTCTGTAGTTTTTTGTGTTGGGCATACTTTCTACAGTGGTGGCATTTAGAATGAACATACCGATGATGACAATGATGATATAATAATAATTGACAGGTACTGACCACTTACTGTCCCCAGACACTGTGCTTTACAAAGATTGACTAAATTTTCCAAATAAAACCATGAAGTAGACATTATTATTGTTACCCCATTTAAAAATGAGCGCTTGGTAACAAATTAAATGACTTGCCCATGGTCACACAGCCAGAGTGGGGACAGAACCAGGACATCAACACAAGTAGTCAGTCTGACTCTAGAGCTTATCGTTTTAATCTCTTTACTAGTTTGACAGTAGTCTGGAAACTAGACTTCATATAATGGATTTTCTAGCTTCTCTCACAATTGCTGTAAGATATATTTGAATTCTCTAGCTTCTTTCCCGAAAGACTTTTTAAAGATTTTTCTTATGTTCTCCTTTCTTGTGGCTTTCCCAAGAAACTAGTGATCTCTAGCTTTTTTTAGTCTTCCTTTCTGCATATTTGTGTTAGAAAAGATCTCAACTTTCATATTCTTTTGATGTAAAAATTTTTGAAGAATGAGAAGTAGGTAGTACATGTCCCTGAACGAAAGATAAAAGTGTTTTGAGTAATGTTGACACTGTTTACTGTGAAAGACTAGCCCTGGAAAACTTCAGATTTTGTAAGATTGTCACAGAAGAATGGTTGATTCTTTTGTGCATTCTTTTTTTTTTTTTAGATTTTATTTATTTATTTGACACAGAGAGAGAGCTAGTGAGAGCAGGAACACAAGCAGGGGGAGTGGGAGGGGGAGAGCAGGCTTCCCGCCGAACATGGAGCCTGATGCGGGGCTCGATCCCAGGACCCTGGATCATGACCTGAGCCGAAGGCAGACGCTTAACGACTGAGCCACCCAGGGGTCCCTCTTTTGTGCGTTCTTAAAAATTGGGGCATTTTTGTCTTTATCTAAATGGCAATTATAATTCAGTACGTCTGGAGACATACCTTCTACTCTGAGTTCTCCTGCCAGACCACCAAATGGTCTTGGAGAAGCCAAGGAGCCCCTCTGCCTTGCCTTCTCAGGCTGTCAGACGATGACACTCTATGCAGTACCTTTAAACGCTCAGCATGTGAAGGGAAAGAGGATTTGTAAGTACAGAGGTGTTTGTAAAACTTTGTGACAATGAGTGAAAGCTGTTTAGAATCAGTTATGGTACCTCCCTTGCAGTTTCATTTGGAAATCAAGAAACACAACACAGGTCATGATCCATAAGAATATAACTGGTTTATCACTTATCTCAAAGTAATAAGATGCTATTTATTTTCATTATCCCTGTTGTTTTTTTGTTTTTTTTTTACAGTCCATCAATATTATGGAACTGACTTTACAGAAATATGGAAGTTATGAAAAATTTGAGCAGGCCACTGGTGGCAGCCTGCTATCTAAAACTCGAATCTGGAGTCATGTTCGGAAGTACATGATGAAAGAAGGCTGCCTGGGTGAGGTATGAATCAGGAGTGACACGAGATGCTGTTGGCATTTTAACTGCTCATCTAAATTGAATTGCTGTGTTCAGTTTCTTTGTGTTTTTCTTTACTTACTACCCTTTCTGTATAGCTTATGGGATTATGGGAATTTTTTAATGAAAATTATTAATGAAGCAATTTGCCTCAGTGGCCGCCTCTTAGCAGCCAGTTCAAAATGGCCAAGCAGAGAAGCGGACTCGGGCTTGTGTACATACCTTTGCCTCATTTTAACCAGGGGGGGGACTGTATTTGACAGCAGCACAACAGGGCACTGCCTCCTCAGCACAGCCCTCTACTTTCCTTTAATCCAGGAAAGGTTCTTGAGTGGCGCATGCTCAGAAGTGGAAGGGTCAAAAGTGATTATCATTTTCTTGGTATCTGGGAGATTCAAACTGGTACAAGCAAAATAAAAATATACTGTATCATATGATCTCAGTGATAGGAGGCATTCTTAATCTCAGGAAACAAACTGAGGGTTGCTGGAGTGGTGGGGGTTGGGAGGGATGGGGTGGCTGGGTGATAGACATTGGGGAGGGTATGTGCTATGGTGAGCACTGAATTGTGCAAGACTGATGAATCACAGATCTGTACCTCT